TATATATATATAATGAAAATCAAAGATAATTGTTATGGTGTGGCTCATATACCATATAGGGCCAGACGTTGGAACGAAGCGGAGCGGAAGAGTCTGTCCAAATCGTGAAATTACGTTATGTTGGTTGGGGCTATACATTACAGGGGTAATTTGAGAATTCTATATTGTACTGTAGGGTTTACTCTAGAATTATAAATAAACATGTTTGTAATCATAAATTTTTGAGAGAGCTGAATCATGTATTTTGTATTCTTTTCTGAATATTGAAAAAGGAAGTCGCCGCTCTACTCCCGAGGATGTAGGCATCTTTGCCGAACCTCGTTAAATCCCTATGTGTTCTTCTGAATTTGTGTCATACCTAACAATAATTGTCCTTGCAAATATAAACGCTGCTGCCGTAATTCATAAATAGGGAAATCAAATGTCTCGTGATTCATAATGTTATGGCCGAGAATATCTGCGCCAAATCAAAGTAGTCGAGAACAACATGCAGGACGGATCTTTCCATGCATAAGTAAGAGAATTGATATAACAAAATGTAATTTTGAAGATGTTTGGTAGTAGAATATATAATATATCTGATCAGGCTTTGAAAAGGAAGAAGAAATCATGGCGGATCATGGCGGATCTATGAAGAAAATCTATGCGGTAGGGACATTCATAATTCATAAATGTTTATCAGTACAAAGGACTTACATTAATGGCTCCATAGATCTAGGAATCTTCTTAGAGGTAAGGTTTAGAATATCGGAACGGACCGGTCGATCCCACCAGTTCCGCTACAAACTGGTCGAACTATGGATAAGCCCCACACGACTATTTCTGCAGCATCCTGAGCAGTGTAAGGACGTGGTGTCGCAGAGTAGGAGCGTAGCTCCCGTGTAAACTCGTGTTGCAAAGCTTTACGGCCTTCGGATCCTGGCCGACTGGATTCTTAATTGTTATTAGTTTGTTACTTCATTATTTAAGCATTAAAATTGTATTTAGTTAATATTTATATTTATAACGATGACTGGCTCAACCCCTGGTTGAACCAATGAACATTGAGTCTTGAACATTTCTTTCTTCTGATTTGATGTCTAATTCTATTTTTAAAACCTTGATAATAAACATAAGAAT